CAATCCAGTTCAGTCCAATAAATCAATCATTTCAGATCAAATACTCGCTACGGTTCAGTCCACTAACTCGATCCAGTTCAGTTTAATAAATCAATCCAGTTCAGTCCACTAACTCGATCCGGTTTAGTCCACTAACTCAATCCAGTTCAGTCCACTAACTCGATCCAGTTCAGTCCGCTAACTCGATCCAGTTCAGTCCGCTAACTTGATCCAGTTCAGTTCACTAACTCAATCCAGTTCAGTTCACTAACTTGATCGAGTTCAGTCCACTAACTCAATCCGGTTCAGTCCACTAACTCGATCCAGTTCAGTCACCTACTCGATCTAGTTCAGTCCACTAACTTGATCGAGTTCAGTCCACTAACTCAATCCGGTTCAGTCCACTAACTCAATCCAGTTCACTCCACCTACTCGATCCAGTTCAGTCCACTTACTCGGTCCAGTTCAGTACAATAACTCAATCCAGTTCAGTCCAATAAATCAATCATTTCAGATCAAATACTCGCTACGGTTCAGTCCACTAACTCGATCCAGTTCAGTTTAATAAATCAATCCAGTTCAGTCCACTAACTCGATCCGGTTTAGTCCACTAACTCAATCCAGTTCAGTCCACTAACTCGATCCAGTTCAGTCCGCTAACTTGATCCAGTTCAGTCCGCTAACTTGATCCAGTTCAGTCCACTAACTCAATCCAGTTCAGTCCACTAACTTGATCGAGTTCAGTCCACTAACTCAATCCGGTTCAGTCCACTAACTCGATCCAGTTCAGTCACCTACTCGATCTAGTTCAGTCCACTAACACTAGCACAATTCGTGTTCCACAAATGTTAATGTTTCTTCTTGTTCAACAAGTTGATCCATGATGTTTTTTATTTTGTTCATACGAACTTTAATAAAAGATGTGAGTCGTGTATAAGTCTCAATTTTAAAATCACTATTTGGAGATGCCATTGTACAAAGATGAGGAGATAAATGTAAAAAATTCACAAAGTGTAAATGAGAGAGTTAACAGTTTCAATATGGAAATAAGAGTTCAGTTAGGTAAGAGTTCAAAGGCACAGAAAACAATGGGTAAAATGAGGAAATATTGATGTATGAAGAGTTTTAGTGGAAGAAAGTAATTCCAAATCGCTTAAGTAATATCTTGGATCGAAGGATCATTAAATAATGTGGAGTGTTTGTGAATATTAATGAAATATTAAGAGAGAAAAAAAATAGTAAACCATGTTTACAAGAAGAACAGAAAGGAATCTTTATTTTTACAATATTATGAATTTCAGATTTACAATGATCAGCTGTTGTTTTTGATATTAAATGTGAAGGCTAGGCTAGTAGGAAAAATTATCTAAAAGAACTGAACAGCCATACATTATGTGTGCAAATTATTGAACTATTTAGTTTATACCAAACAATAAAATATTAAAGCAGTAACGTCTGTATGTACCAAACAGGTTTAGAGTGTTGACTCAATGTGTTGTGACTGTTTAAACATAACAATGGACAAACCGTGTGTTTGGAGTCTGAAACATCTACAGTCCAACCTCGGTATAACGAATCTCAAGGGACCGAACTAAATATTCGTTATATCAAGGATTTTGTTAAAACGAGGTTCGTTATATAGAGGTTAGGATTGTAAAACATTCGCTATGTCAAGGTTTGCTATCAACATCGGTAAATGTTGGTCGAGGTGTGACGTCGTTTAAACACATTTACAGTACCATATGCTACTACAGTTACTGTATTTTTAAAGTTGCAGATTAAATAAAACTCCCATTCTTTTATACAAACGTTGATTTATTTTTTTTCATATGAACTGTACAGTATTCATAAAATCATAATTGTACTACAGATAGTCAAGTACAGTACACTACAGAAGTACAGCACCATTTCAAAACGAAAAGTCTGGTTCTATAATACAGGCTATACGGTGAATACATTTTAATACACTCACCTCCCGAATTCTAGCCATTAACGGATGATACGTGTTAGCATAACTGGGACATTTTCGACGAAAATTAAGCTAAACGCATACGGCTTTTATAATTCAAGTGAATGTTTCCATTGTTTCCGTACACGTTGGGTCAGTGTTGTTGAAACAGGGTTGAAACAGCAGAGTTTTTTCTAGGGAGGAAGCCTTAGTAGGTAAACAAACCATAAATCACTCGTCTTGAGCCGGGCCTACTCAAGGTCATAGACCTCTCCCCTCCTTGCCCGTCCCGATACGTTTGCAATGAACTGCTACAATTGCAGACAAAATTATGTTTTGAAACATAAAACAAAACTACAGATAGAGACGTTTCTCACAGAAAACTGTTAGGGCCTACAGATTATTTGCAAAGAAAATAAATTATATTAGTGTTTATTTTGTCAATAGTGAACTGAATTTTGTTTTATCTTAAAAGACTAGCCTACATTTTTTTTTAAATAATTTGCTTGTTTCATTGTGTTTAAATACAATACGTGCGTTGTTCATCGTGATTCCTATAAAATTGGAACCCTTTTTGTTCAATTAATATTTTGCAGAATAAACCACGATTTAAAGTTTCCGGTAAGCTTTGACTTAACACTATCCCGGAGAATTGGGAGTTGAGTGTATGTGTATTTTGATAACTATCATTTATCAATCTACAAAACCTTTAAATAAAATAGAAATGTTTTAAATTTAACAGAAATAAGAAAACAGTAATAGACTTGTTAAAAAAAAATACTGTACACACAGAACAGAACATAAACCATATAAAGAACAACAGAAAATGTGAGTACAGTAATGTAATTTAAAAGAAAAATAACACTTTTTCAATAAGCCTAACCTATTCTCGTCATTCTACATCAGAATTAAGGATTTAGTTGGCATTGTCAGTTACTTCACTTACTTGGCTACTTCCACTCTGATTATTAAAGAAGAAGTCTGTTATCGTTGTTTGCTTACGTGCAGTGATGCTCAACGTGTCCAAGGCGCAGTCCAGGTCGGTGATAGATTTCACAACACCGTCAGACAAACCACTCTTTTTAAGAAAAAAACGTTTTAGCAAGCTTAGAGCTTGATGAGCTTCTTTTGAAGTTGGGTCAGGCAACTCAGTTTATTCATCTTCGTCGTTATCTTCCTCCACATCCGCCACATCCGCATTCTCATCTGACGTCACAGAGGAGATGATTTCGGCATCAGTTAGTTCTCCACACACGGCCAGGTCGTCATCAAATGTAACGAAGTCTTCGAACCCTGCAGCGTCCTCCTGTAGGTTGAGCACTTCTTGGATTTGTTCCCAACTCTCAGGAACATCGACGGCTTGAGTGAAAGGCTGTGCTGTGTTGTCTTCCGAGGTCGGAACGGCGAATCCGCTCTTCCTGAAGCAGTTGGAAATTGTGGTCTCCGTGACCTTGCTCCATGCTTTTGTTGTCATCCACATGGCGTCCAAGATGTTAATGTTAGTTGGAATTCGGCTTTCCATGTCTCTCAGAAACTGTTGAACAACCTCTTTTCGGTAATTGACTTTAAAGCTTTGAATAACCCCTGGTCAAGTGGTTGCAGCTTCGATGTTGTGTTTGGAGGCAGAAACTCGATCTTTATGTTACTGAGTTTAGGAATGTCTCCATGAGCCGTGCAGTTATCCACAAACATAAGAATTTTCTTCTTTTTCTTTTTCATTTCTTTGTTTACACTTTGAAGCCATTTAGTAAATGCCTCACAGTTCATCCAAGCCTTTGGGTTTGCCATGTAGTCCGTAGGAAGATCAGTCAGATTTTTAAAACATCTTGGGTTTTTTGACTTCCCGATTACAAGAGGCTTTAATTTGTCAGTTCCTGTGCAGTTTGCGCACAACATTACAGTTAGGCGATCCTTGCTGCTTTTCCCGCCGTGGCATTTATCGCCCTTAAACGACAAGGTTTTGTCCGGCAAACACTTAAAAAACAGTCCCGTCTCGTCCGCATTATAAATGTTTTCCGGTTCGTAGCCTTCGGTTAGCGCGATAAGTTTATCTTTCCACTCGGAACAAACACTATCGTCGACTTTAGCACTTTCACCGCAAATTTTTCTAAAAATAATTTCATTTCGTTTTTTGAAATTTTGCAACCATCCGTTGCTAGCTCGGAATTGTTCATGCCCCAGTTCAGAAGCAAACTGCTGGGCTTTTTCTTGAAGGATTGGACCGCTTACAGCAATATTTTTGTCCCGACACTGCTTCAGCCATTTGAGAACACACTCCTCTACATCCTTTAGCTCACACGACTTTAACTTTTTGATTGCCGAACACAGATCATCGTTGTCGAACTTGTCCTTTCTTTTTAAAATTGTAGCCAAGGTGCTAGGTGGTATGCCAAACTCTTTCGCAATTTCCGTTTTTTTCTTTGTTGGGTTCTCTTCAACACACTTAATAATTTTACGCTTAGTATCCACGCTTAACGCGCACCGTTTCTTTTTATTGTTTTCACTCATAATCTCTGATTTCACGCACTGCACAATCCACTGCACTGACAGACGCAATGAACTGGAATAAAACAGGACAGGAAGCTAGACGCTGTGACCGAGCGTTCATGTCTAGACGCGAATTGCGTTTGTTTCCGTTCGTTATAACGAGGGATGACGCAATCAATTCGTTAAGTAGAGGTTGCGTTCGCTATATAGAGGTTCTGATATTGATAAATTCGTTATATAGAGGTGAATAACATCAGCCGGGATCGTCAAAAATTCGTTAAATCAAGGTTTATAATACGGTTTGTTCGTTATGTAGAGGTAAAATTTACATTGTTTTATATGGAAAGTTCTAGGGGATTTAAAAAAATTCGTTATATCAAGGAATTCGTAATATCGAGGTTCGTTATATTGAGGTTAGACTGTATTGATATTGTTGTTGTTTTATTAATTATGTACAAATTGTATTATTATTTTAGTAATATTTACTCTTGATTTTTTATTTACATATGTAAATATACAAAGTCAATGTAATATTTTTATTTGACTTTTTTGACTTAATCCATTAACCACAGCCTTCAATTTTTAGGTTTTATCGTTCTAAAGTTAAAGATTCAAAAGAAATTGACTGGAAAGATTTATCAAGAAGAGCCGGAGATCTGGGGTCGTGCAATTTATTCAGAGTTTTCAAAACTCTGATAAAGAACTATGTGCCTAAAGAATTCAGCAAAAAGTTCAGAGGTATGTACTTTCACTACTAATTTCAAAAGTGTCCTTTGAGGTAAGATGGTGGTTAACAAGCGAAGCAATCCAAGATACAATTTGTTATGCAATGTAAAAATATTGGTGCTATCACAGAAGGCGATGAAGTTGATCTTCACGACAGCTTGAGATGGTTAATATACTTCTAAAATTACGGAAGTAGATAATAATATCTTCACAGACGCGGAGGGGATGTTAAAATATTGCCGTGATCATGAGAGGCGGTGATGATGTCTTCACGACCACTGGATTATGTCTCTATATTGTCACGATCACGGGAGGCAGTGATGATGTCTTTGCGACTGCGTAGATATGTAACGTTCGTCGGAATTACGAGAGAGGATGGTAATGTTTTTGCGACCTTAAAGGGATATTAAGATATTGCCGCGACCTTGTGAGACGGTGATGATATCTTTGCAACAGTGGAAATTGTCAATATATTGCAGCGATCACAGGAGGTGATGATGGTGTCTTCCCGACTGTGGAGGTAAGGGGGGAATGTCAAGATCTTCGCGTTCTCGCTAGACCGTCAAGATGCTCTCTATAATGAGCATAACCATTTCAAACCCATGACCATCATTTCAAATTTACCCACTATCTATTGTGACTATTTCATCGTCCTCATAATGTATTGGAAAAGCATATTTCCTTATTGAAGATTATATTATTTGTTTATATTCATTTGTTTACTTTGGAAAATCATGGAAATTTTTGTTTTGATTAGGAAGGTAGCAGGGTTGTAGTAATAGAGATAGATGGTGGCAGGTAGCTATTTTTTTGGTGTGGGTGGGGGGGGGGGGTAAAGGGGCAGTATAAAATGGAGGGGCTTTCCGTCTCTGACCTTGGGGGAGATGTGTACCTCTGCTAAACCTGTCAGCTGGAGTACAACAAATGGTACCGTACTCCAGCTAACTTTAATCCCTTTCTGTAAACAACAACTTTCTGGTCTTAAAAGAGTATTGAAACGAGAACGAGCTATTTACTGTGTAGTGTAGAGCTTTTCAGCCTAGTTAACATTGCAGTTGAATAGATGGTAGATCTTTTTTCTTTTAGTTTTGAGATTCAATAATTTAAGATTTAAGTTACTGAACAGCTGATTTAAATAAATACCCTTTGTGTAGAAAAAGTGATAAATAATTTCCTATTATTATAGTAAGCTTTGCAAAAAAAATTTGAAAACATTATGAGTACGCAAGTGAGGCTTATACCAAGCCAGTTTGATAGGTAGCCTGTGAGGCATTATTTCCCTCACAGAATTGGTATAGGAATAGAATTTCTTGTAAATCTTCAACAGACTTTCACAGTTATGGGGTTGTTCAAATTGCCTTGTGTTGTGTCTCCAGAAAGGGCAGGAAATATCTGACAAAATATGAGTTGAAGCCATTACCGTGAAAATAATTTAATGTTTTACGACCGCTTTTTTGCAGCGGCAGTTTCTTATCTTCATGATAATCATATTCCTCGTTTGGAGAAAAAAGAAAATTCTTCCATGTTGGTTCGGAAGGAATACGACCCCGAGACCCGGACGCTAAACCCGATAGAGGACGACGAAGAGGACGCATATTTGTTTGAAATAGACCGCTGAAACTGAGAAAGACTTGAACTCAAGAGTGATGAAATGGTGCTGAAAAAATCTATCTTTTATCTTAATCGCTATTTTGTGTTTTGATTAATTAAAGTTTAGAGCCTCCACCTTTGATTTTGTTGATTGCAGTGAGGTGTTCTAATGAAACGAACTGGTGACATTACCGTATCATGATAATCTCGAGCTATTTGTAAAAAGTCACAATTGTAATTTTTCCGTCAGATTTTTATTGGTACTGTTCTAAATATCTAACAATGTTACAGTTTTAATGTAACATGTGTTAATGTTACAATGTTACAGTGTAAATAATATTCATTTATGTAAACGTTTTATTTATACATATTTATATACAACGTCCTTTGTTGGATCATTTTGTATAAACTAGAGGTCGTCCAGTAGTCAAAAACTCAACCAAAAATATGTAATGTACAGACTTAAATTTTTAATTAATTTTTTATGCTTATTTTTAAGCTTATTTTTATGTATAAAGGGATTTTTATGTTAAGGAAGCCTTTTATATTAAGGGATGTGCACATCTACAGGAAAATATCTTTCTAACAGTATGTGTAGATTTTCCCTGTAATGTACACGAGCTGAGAAAAAAGGTATCAAAGAAACATGCTTGCCGATTAATATATAGATTGTTTGTAAATAAAAATATTACCTTCAATGATACAAGGTGAACAAAAAACATCCATTAAAGCTACCGGAACTGCCAATATTTGAACAAATATTTTCCTTACACTCTCAGGTGTTTAAAGGCATACAAAGTCTGAAATGTAATCAAGGTAATACCTCACATAGAAGCTATTTACTTTTTGTTTTAAAAATTGTCTTTCTTTTTGTTGTAATATAGATTTTTTTTTAGTAAATTTTTATGTAATAATGACCATAGCATGCAACATTTCAGATTGATGTACATAAGTAACTATATGCAAGCATAATGTTATTACAAAGGATAACCTCTATATTTTTATATTTACAAAGTTTTGAATCATATAAGGCTTGTTAGCTAAATTGTTGTAAATATTGTATTTTTTTAGTTGTGACAGTTTTTTTTCTGACTGTTGTACAAAAATAACTTCTTGATCAGCATTGTACGTGTTATTAAATTTACGGAAAGTAAATAAAGATACGTCTTATAACACTTAAAACATATGTTTACGCTTATACTGTTACTCACAAGACGGTAAATATACAAAAGATGGCAAGTGGTGATAGATTTCGATTGGACACTCCAATCATCATCAGACCCAATAGGCGAATCTTTAGGATTCAAATTTATCTGTAGGATTCGCCTATTGGGTCTGATGATGATTGGAGTGTCCAATTGAAATCAATCACCACTTACCATCTTTTGTATATTTACCGTCTTGTGAGTAACAGTATAAGCATAAATATATGTTTTAAGTGTTATAAGACGTATCTTTATTTACTTTCCGTGTTGTACAAATTGTTTTTGATTGTTCAAATTTATTGAATATTTTTTATAATGGGATAAAAAAAATGATACCACAAGATTATATTGATGTGTTTCTTCTTCACCGTCATCCAATTATTTAAAGGTATCTTTTAGTATCCAATACTTTTTAGCTGTGATAAAAATTAAATCTCATCCATCAGTAACTTTATTACAGGTATGATGTTGAATTTGATGTATTAACACATTGATCTACCACAACATTTAAATTGATGCAGGAGTGTAAGTTTTATATAATACATGTTAAACAATACTTTTTATTTTACATGATACACCAGTATAAAAGTCAACTACACTATAAAGGGGGTTCTTCTTTAGCAGGAATCACATCCATCCATTTCTGAAGAACTCTTTGGCAGTCGTCTGTAAAAAGTATAAATAATTTTAAATTCTTGGAAATTTCAAATTAGTAATGTGATTGGTTTATTGAAGTGTGATCAACACAATAATACATTTTTGTCAATTACTAACTATAACCCTATTCTTGTATCAACTGGGTCATTAAATGTTTTGAGTCAATCGTCACCACTGAACCACCAGACAGTATTGTAAGTTGTAAGCAGGATATTTGTCAGCACTTGAGGAAAAAGTATGATGAATTAGCACTTGTATGTTGAAATCCATCTGCAGTTGTAAAATGTTCAGTGTGTGTGTCTTGTGTTCATCATTGTCTCAGAACTGACTAGCCTATAAATTAATATATACAGTAGAACTATTGGAAACACCACTCCCCTTCCACTACACCACTGCATCCAACTTGTAAAATGTTGTTTAATTCGTTGGTTTTGTAATCCCTGTATCTTTATATGCAGGTAAATTATCTATTCCTATCCTGCTCTAGCTAAACTTAACATTTGCTAAGAGCAAATTGACTGACATTCACAGAGTACTGTAATGAGGTTTGTGTTATGTTATGGTTCAAGCAAGTGTTATAACTTAAACAACATGGTATTTTAGGTGAGGTATCAGTTCATTTATATGGATAATTTTGGGCCTCACTCGCCTTTTTGAAAACAGTATAGCTCAGTCCTTTGTCAATTGTCACCACAGTTCAACCAACACACACATAAAATATAAAAATAAATAATAGAAAACTTCTTAGGCTCTTATTTGGCCTTAATTTATGGCAATTTCTTCATGCCATAAAATAACTCAAAACACCTTAGGACAGAGAGATTCTCTCAAAACCATTAACAGTCCATCAGCTAGTTAATAAATCACATCAAATATCCCACTAGTTGGTACTAAGTATTGGTATTTACCCAAGTAGGGCAGCTTCATTCTTTTGTAAATGAACGGATAGTAAAACAGGACTCCAAGGGATGTCAGTAGCAGACAAACGATGTATTGCATTGGAGGCTGGGTAAAGATCGGGATGACTGCCAGAGCTGTTGATAAGACAATAACAACAGCAGGGATCACCAGAGGTACCTGTAGACAATCGTGAGCTTCAGTCCTGTAGTGTTAATCACTACTTATCATTAGGGTCTAAAGTGATTCTTTTATACACAAAAGCTCAAGTGAGAGTGAGGGTTAAAAAGACAAATTTGGCCCGTGTCAGAAAGTATTATTTAATTGTCATACTACGCCATTCTTTTAGATAGCTAAAATACACCACAAAATATTGGACATTGTAAATCTTCATAAATTAGCTATAAAATTTCTGTCATGTTTTTTTATCAGTTAACAGCCGTTACTGTTTTTATTTTGCCTGATTTGGTCGTTTCTTCAGATACATTACTCAGCTAAAACAGTAACACTCTTTCACACGTTACATTTTCCTCCGTCCACTTAAAAATAGTATGATTTTACCTTCTATGTTTCTTTTACATTAAAGGATTTCTGGCCTTACAGCGAGATAAATGTGTTTACAAAATCTTAAAAAACATAAACAGTGTCCAATTGAGAGGTCAGATTCTAAACGATGAACATCTGGCAACAGCTGATCTCTTTGCACTGGCTGGTGGGCCACCAGCTCCAGTTCGATTAAAAGCCATGCAGTATGAAAGCTTGCATTTTAAGTACATGCACCACGGCGTGGCAACCGTCCAGTTCAGTGGCGGTGGACGGCAGCAACTCTGTAGGTTTTCTGCCGTCCCCATAATCGTGTAGTGTGAAAGCTCACGATAAGTAACCATACAGCAAAACCGTATAGTGTGAAAGAAGCAAAAGGAATTTTGCGTCAAATTACTTAAAAAATAAATATTAATAAAACGGATAATGCTTATTCACTGTAGTAAAATATGCTATGTTACACAACAATGCCATGATATTTTTTCAGAAAAATAGGATACAGCTGATGTTTTTGACTCCAGCTGTTTATCTTCTATCCTAGAGATAAAAGAACTACTTTACCCAATATTAACTTAATTAAAGAGTGTTCAGTCTCGTAGTGCCCAAAGCAAGCTACAAGGTAACAAAAAACCTATCGAGCTGCTTTTCACCTTTAACACCTCACTTAACTAAACTAAACTCTAGCAGGGTTCAACTAACTCCTTAGGTTGGATTAGCTAGTAATATATTCATATTATTTAGATATCCATAATTCTCTCTAAATTCTTATGTATAAATATAAATGCTGACTACTTAATTATTTGAGTGTAGATATTGATGTTGGGCTATGTGTGGGTGTTGTCTTTGTATAAATACCATGTTCTAAGCTCTGAATCTAATTTAGTCATCAGTGTTTTCCTCACCTTAAATGGACGATTAGCTAATGGCATTCTTCTTCTCAAGACGAAAACTGTCGCCATAGTGAGTCCGTAGAAAATCCACATGAGAAACATATAAAAGTTTATGAGTGTGTCCATGCCCCGCCCCAGGAAAAGGTAGCCGAGCCCAAGAACAACCTGAAAAATGTATTTTCGAAAGATTAGATATTGAGTAAGAAAGAAAAGGTTATTTTAATTGTCTATGTAAATATATCCATACAAAATGTCCCAGACATAAAAAAGACCTTCAGCATGCATCTTACTTTTAAGACCTAAATATGTGTAAAACAATAAAGAAATAATTGTATCTGTATAATGTACCAAACAGTATGCGACTCATACGTATGGATAGAGTTTTGAATACGGCAATTTCTTGAAGCCTTCTAAACATTTAAATTCACCTCTTACTTCAAACACCGCCATAATAGCCATTAATATACACTTTTCCTCATAGAATAATATACATATATTTTTATTGTTGCTCAAGGTTGTTTATTGTTAAATAATATTCTAGTATACATTACATACATATACATATCATATATATCTTTTTAAGAGCTCCTGGTATATATTTAAGAGTTTAGATGTACCGATATTTATAAACACTGCACCTGTTTTTGACCTATAGACGATAACCAATACATATTTCCTGCTGGTAAGAGCTCTTCCCTCGAGCACGGACTTGCAGTCCATTCAGGGGAATACTATTCCTACCAATAATAATGTGTTCCAATCATAAACCAATCAAACAATATGAGTAGTCTATTTAATTTTAATTTTTTAAGACTAAAAATCAAACTAATCATCTCAGCAAATTGATCTGATGGATATTTATACAACTTACAAAGCTTAAGTTAGTTACAACTGGTTGTAAACTAGTTCACTCTTATTGGTATAATCAGTTGGAATTAACCTGCTTGGCTAAGACTAGACATTTGTTTGGCTAAATTAAAATGAATAACACCTTTGTTATTCACCTATGTTAGCCAATGTGAGTGAGTAAACTGTAACTTAGGTACTTGTAAATAAGTTAACATTATTTCAGTTTCAGCCTTGTATGCTTAGCCACTGACCTGCAGAATAACTGCAGGCGCTGGGGTCAGTCTTCTTCTGTGGATGAAACAAATAAATTCCCACATTTGCCCTTCCCTAGCAGCAACGTAGCCTAACCTGAAAATAATCATGACTGAGCAAAAAACATTTATGTTAGAAAAGCTTTGTTACCTTTAGTATATATGTTACAGATAGTTATTTAATTAATTAAAATATCAAGGTATCATTATTTTGGAAAACAAATTACAACACAATAACACCTCACTTAACTAAACTAAACTCTAGCAGGGTTCAGCTAACTCCTTAGGTTGGATTAGCTAGCAGGGCATAAAATAACATGTTAACTGGGCGACACAAATGTCGCCCATTGACTATGGGTGGTGCTGGCATATTTTTTATGATTCACATTTTAAATGTATCGGAATTTAAAAAATAACATTATGCAAATATTTTAGAGTATTGAGCTATTATTTTGGCCCAAGAGGTTGTGAAGGGAGCCTTAGCCTGTTACTACGTTATAGAATACGTAATTAAGTGAGATTAAATGGACTATTTACAAGCAAATATAATCAAAAAATCCATTAAAAGATACGTAGAAATGTTTTTTTTTATTTATGCAAATATTTTCGGGGGGAACCCTCAGACCCCCCTTTGTGATGGCGGGTATTCCATACCCCCCAGTAAGTCCGGCGCCACTGTCGCCCAGTGGAAATCCCTTAAATATGCTCTGTTAGCTAGTAATATATTCATGTTATTTAGATATCCATAATTCTCTCTTATGTATAAATATAAATGCTGACTACTTAATGATTTGTCACATAATAACACTATTAAATCAGTTTTTTTAAAATTACAGATCTTTTGCTGAAAAAGTTATGAATGGAAAGACATTTAAAGTTGCTCCTATTTTTCCAACAGTGGGTTAAACGTTATTACCTTGAAGCATAAAATATAAGAGAAAGGGCAGCCCCCAAAGCACTCAATGCTACAGCAATGGATACAACTATTTTTCCTGGGCCAAACACTCTGTCACCAAATTCCTGAAAAAATTAATTTTAAATTAACAAAACCCTCAACCGTAAAAAAATTACGTACTTCTTCAAGTACTTTCTTCAAGCTCTTGGTTATCTAGCGTTGTTAGGAAACTAATTAATTATTTATGTTCAGTTAAATAAATTTATTTGCTCAACAATTACATAATGACTATTAAAACCTGTTCAAAAAGATACATTCATAGTTTTCTCAACCTGAATCAATTGTTGCGTTGGAAAATTGACGTGATTAACTTATCTCAAAATGTTCTCACCACTGCAACTGCAGAACCAGATATGATTTCATCAACTGTCAGTGTTGTTGTGTATGCAACATTCATACTGATAAACAGTAGCGTTACAATCAGCAGCCCAATCAGTATGCTTCTAATTATGTTTCTGAAAAAAATAAATGTTATTGAGATCTTGGAAAAAGTGTTTTTAAACCATAGGTAACCAAATTTATCATTACTGATCAATTGTGTAGAATATGAAAAAAAACCTTGTCAGGCGTAACTTCACCTGGAAGATCAAACAGGTGAGATCAATGCCAACTAAGTTAATATCGAGCAAAACAAAAAAAAAAAAAAAAACGTGATTTGTCTTGTGACCAATAATGAATTTGTGACATAAATAAAATCCATCAAATCTCTGGTACAGCACGAATTTGCCTTTTAATCCATTTTAGTTTTTTTTTATTACAACGGGACAATTTTTTTGTTTTATCTTTGTTTTTTTACTACCTTATCACAAAAATGTTATGCACAGTGTTTACTTACTTATCCGGGTTTTTTATTTCTTCAGTTACCCCTGTTACCCAGCTCCTGAAAAATATAACTTTACTTAATAATAGATGATTTTGAGTCAACTATTAGTCAACTAAATATTAAAATAACTTTGATGGTGATCGCTTGGCAATTGTTTAAACCTAATGCTCTATACTGTACTAATAAACTCTCGGTATATTGGATCAACCAAGTCCTATTATATCGTAGAAGCTCAGATCGATCGCAGGTTATAGCCCATGTCAGGTATAGTCACATAGATAGCTGCAAGTAGAAGTTTAGTTAACTTTCTCTTTATGTTCAATATGTAAACCATTAGGCCTACAGCTGACAGCTCAAAGTGTTGAGCAGACCAATCATCTGCATTTTTAACGATCTTGCAAAATCCTCAAAGAATACTTTCAAGTCTGGAAATTTCAACATAGCCTACTTTTTCCCTCTAAATCAATTTTATATTCTCTAACAATTTTGTACATACCAACCATCGTAACTGTAGAGTCCTGCGTAAAAGACTATCGCCAGTGAGTGTGGAGTAGTTTTTGTTCCTTCGAACCCAAAATTGATGTTTAATGCCTTTCCTGAAAGAATATTAAGGTTTTTTTGTAAAAGAATTTCATACTAAAATTTTTGCGATGATCAATCTCAATAATGACAAAATTTTCTATTAAAATCCAAATGAAAAAATGTTTACCCTTTATTTGTTGCATTTAATGCAGGTCTTATAGTAGCATACATGTTTTTAAATATAATAAAATATAGTTCATGCTTTAAAATTACCTATGTGTATTTGGGTACGTAAATAAACCAAATCCTTTATGTTTGTTTGTGCATTCCTGTCTCTATTATAAAACTGATGCATGTTAAAAATAAAAGCATTGTGATTAAGAACATTGTTTTCTAAATTATACTAGCTTTCTTTTTCAGTCAGCTTTAGTTTTGGAAATTATTTAAATGTTACAGGAACACCAACAAATATTAATTAGTCAGAACCATTGTTTAACAACTTTAGAAAGTTTTAAATGCGGCTTTGAGTATTATATATACAGGGTGTTTTTAAAAGAATGCCGGGATTTTAAATGGTAATTGCTTGGATACTATTCAAGGTAACTAAACGTTTTATATGTCAAATTGAAGCTAAAATAACTAAGTTTTGTTTCCCGTGTAGCAAGGGAGGAAACTTTGACCTTGGTATGCGTAAAACAGGTGCAGTGTGAATGGCCGCTATTTTGACCCTTACGCCTGACGCCAGTCGCCACTACGATATTTACGGCACAACAGAAGGCACAGATTGTAATCTGTAGTTCGCCGAGTTTATATCCGTTGCTAAATTAAACTAGATTTAAATCTACTTGATGATAAAGAAACTTTAAGCTGGTTTAATGAGTTTCGTGGCACCGAAATGTTTTGAAAAGACATTCACCTGGCCGGCTTAAAACAAGCGATGACATAGTTAAAGAAATCCGACAATTCTGCATCAGAAGCCCGAAAAAATCGATTGCCCGACGAAGTCTTCTGTTTAACAAACCTAAATTGGCCACTTTATGATGTTATCTATAAAATATAGATTCTTTGTGCCGAAAAAGATTCAGTTAAGACATCAGATAAACCTGCCGATTGCCCTACGCGTACAGACTTTGCCAGTTTTACGCTCATATAAGATTGATTAAAATTTGAATTTTAATCAATCATTCCGAACTGTATGAAAGAATGAGAAAACAAACTTTATTCTTTTCCCTTCAATTTGACGTTTAAATCGTTTAATTATCTTGAATAGTCCCCGAGCAACGACCGTTTGAAATCCCGTCATTCTTTTAAAAACACCCTGTAGTTTATAATTTTATATTTACCTGAGATTAACATATATATTCCACCAACAATGACAAATGCACATCCAGATAGCTTCAAGAAACTGATAAGATTCTGTGTGTTCAAGTAGAGCTTGACACTTACATAGTTTATTATGCCAACTGCAACTGTAAAAGAAATTAGTGATATAAGTCAAAATCAAGCACTGTAAAATGAGCTACTAGAATATTCTCATTGAAACACATTTTATTTGTCAATATACTTTGTGATTAATTATATTATGTTATCTCTTTATCTTTCTTTGGTTTTGGAAATTAATTTAAATTATTGGAAAAGTTACATTTTCTCCTGTGTCCCTGTCCTGAAAAGCAACTAACTGAAGTTATAAGGGTCAAACCTTACATGTAATGTAAGGTTGTAATTAATTTTGTAACAAGAATAACACAAAATATGTCTTAAACCTTGTCTAATCAAAAGAAAGTAAGAGCGTAAATTGCAACCAATGACGTTTTTCTTGTAATAACTTTTATGGTGATTTTATAAGTACAGGTACGAAATTGTTGTGGTGTCATTTTGTTTAGAGTGAAATTGAATTAATGCTATCTTCTTTGGAAAAAGCAGTTAAAAATTGAACTTTGTTATGCATGCAAAAATCGTTTAACACTTTAATTAAAGAGTAGTTTTTTTTTTACTTTACCTAAAGTAGCTGCTGCTATGGTGTTTTTTACTAAAACTTCGTTATTTGCATGGAACTCCGGTGAGAGTGAAGGTCTTACAGGCTCATAAACGTAGTTAGCGAAGAGTAGCGCAACTACGGCAAGATCTGCCGGAACTACGATGATCATCATTATCCAGATAAACAGAAATCCCGGAAGAGGTCCCAGGAAGGGATGAAGATCTTTAAATGCTGTTTGGAAGTAAGCGTAACTCCCGCCAGACTTGGGCACCACTGTACTCAGCTCCGCAAACGCCAAGGCACCTGCAACGGAAACATTTCCAAGTGTTCAAAGGAAGATAATGTGTTTGATTGGGTATTAAATGGAATATATTTCTATGTTTTTTCTTCTTGTTTTTGTAATGTCTATTTTTAATATTTCCCCATTGTAAGAAGTAATATAAAACTGAATAATTCTGTATGAATTGTACACATTTTTTTATTTATTTAGAGTATTCTTGAAAAATCGTCTCCATATGGAGATGTAACAAATTTTTTAGCATTATACATCACTAGCCATAGATTTCATCACTAGGCCGTAACGTAACTCTTTTCAACCCGAGCTCAAGTTTAACGACTGAGGCTAAGCCGTGGTCGGAAAATGAGAGTGGGTGGAAAAGAAAATTTTGCCCATCTGATAACCTATATTTTTTTGTCATATAAGTTACAAAATGAAAATACTTCTCATACAAAGATAACATTTCAGAACTACTTTTAACTTGTTTTCAATTTTGCTAATGCAAACATAAGCAGTTGTTTAGTAAGAGATTCAATAATTTTGTCTATTATCATTGAGATAGAGTACATTATATACTATCGATATGTCAAACTATTGACAAGAATGCAATGCAACAATAAGCTAGATAACCAAGTAAAACAATAAATACATATGTTCGATACATGCAATTATTATCAGTCCAAGTTTATAACAGCAGATTTTTTAATTCTAGGGAGAAAAGGTTCATTTTAGTAACTTTTTGCAACGCATGTAGGTATTAAAACAGCTGTTTTACTGCAGTATGACAAAAAATTAAAAGTTTCCAAAATGTTGCCATATGTTTTTAGTTTAGTTGCTCTTATCCCCTTCTATATATAATTAACCACTACAATAACATGTTACTAAGCCAAAATCCATTCTCCAACTTACCCATCAATGAGATGATTCCACTTAGGAACCAAACTAGTAACGACATTCCAATGGATCCTGACTCGGAAAGAACTGTTCCAGGAGTTAGGAAAATGCCGGACCCTGGACAATGTGTCTTGGTTATTTTTTGCAACAAAATGGCTTTATGTGTACTTAATGATTTTTAGATTTAACTATGCATCCTGAAGTAATTGCAGAACATTCAACAAAAACATTAAATTACTTTAAACTGTAATAATGCATTGGTTAAATTTGTGCACACAACATAAAGTGGAGGAAGAGTTCAGAACCTAGCAGAGGTAGAACATCAAGAACACATTACAGCTTCTACAAATACCCTTCTTTTTATTTTTATAAATACTGAGCTTATCTTACTGTTGTAATCAATTTCTTGGTGTTAATTGTATAAGTAAATAAATAATTAAAACCTCTGAATATTGATATAACTAGGACATTCCCTCGATAAAGCTGTAACCAGTTTTTGAATAAACAAGATTTTTGTTGAATTGATCCATAACAAGGTGACCTGATGTAAATAATTGATTTCTGTCAATCACATAATCTTTTTAACCAAGCCAAATAAAGAGACAACTTATTGTTGACTATAGCATCCTTTATATGTCACATATCAACTATCAAAAACGAATTAAGAAAATTGAATTTTAGACCGTAAGTAACACAATATGTGAAGCTCATTCAACGATGGGATGTGTACAGTAGCCTACTTCAATATCCAAAAGTCAAATAGCCCCTCAACATTTTTCAACCATTGACGATTTTAGTCTCAAATGTAGAGGTTTAAATATGATTAAAACTAAATTTGCTTTGAGCAAATGCAAACCAATACCTATCTACTTATCTATTTACTTATTTTTTCAGCTTGCATACTCACCAATAATGAGATTCAAGATCAAGTTGATTGCGCTAATAAGCCCGATGTCTCTTTTCAAGTGAATTTTCTGCTCCTCTGGCAAGTTTCCATTTTCTTCGTACAAACCAATTATCTTAAGATCAGTCTTGTCGGATTCTGACATGTTGGTTTTGTTTATTGAATCCTGAAAAAAACACAGGCTCACTAAAATTTAACTCCTTTGAACAATTTAGTAATTTTTGGATTGTGAACATGCGTCTTATTTTGAGTAGTTTGAAGCCTATACTCACCTAGTCAGTTATAAACTATTGGAACATATTTGTAAACAACACTAAAAACACAATTAACAGATAAACGACAACTATTAAACATTTACCCTACTACACTATTATGATTTCTACAAACTTAAACATAACTTTTTACTCTTTTTCAAATAACTAGATAACTATTCACTAACACCAGGTGTAAGACTCAGATTGTAGGTAAGGTGATATTTATGAACCAGAAGTGAAGGATTTTGTGATAGTGTTATCATCTCATCGCTCATTTTCTTTAATCCTTTATAAAATGCAACAATGATATTGTTTTCATCAGTCTCAATCAGTGTTAAGATAAGAAGCATCATTATAGTCTAGTGAAGTGGCAATTATAGAGTTTTCTGTCCTGTTTACATCATACTGTATGTAGAATCCATCGGGAGGTGGTAAGCTGCTCCCCCGTGCCTGGGACGCCAGCGAGTGCGTCGTGCAAAATGCTTGTCTTGACTGTACTCTTCCATTCCTGACCTAATCTCTTAATCCCTTCCTTGCGGGTGTGAGTAAACTGTTCTCCCTTGGCTGTTGCATACATTTGATTTATGTTCACTAAACTATTGAGTTACAGACTAGTTAGAGTTATATTGTGTAATAGAATGTAAGTAATAAGTTGAGGTAACAAATAAATTACAGCAACCCATTTTAGCTTCCAAACACTATGCTACAATGATTGTCGTACCACTACGCAAATATAGTGCGTTATCAAATTTGGTTTTTGAGCCATGCCACACCGAAAGTACCATGCCCGCGGCGGGAGTTTTGGGGTGATTTTCATCACAATTTGTTTGACATAATAATTACATCTTACCTAGGCCAGTTAAGTTTCCGTAGCAAACTGTTTTTCGAAGTAATTTAATTTTTTTAATAGGGTTGAGAATAAACTATCCACTTTCACTTTTGTTTTCAACGTTATTTTTCGGTACACTACAAAGACTAATTACTTTTTAAATAAAAACATTCATTGGAATACTGAATTTCTTTAATCCAGTTACGAAAGCTTCAAAACTAAAGCCATTTTTTACCTAGGCCATATATAACAAGTCTAAATTTACATTGATTGTACAGTTTTGGTTGTTGCAAATTGAAACTGTTTATCAAACAATTACAAATAATGTTTGTTTGTTTACGTCGACAACATAAAAAAATATAATAGGAAACATTAAATCTGCACCGTAAACATTCTTTTCGCATGGTAAACAATCATGCATATTTCTGGTGATAACATAATACGAAAACAATTGATTTTGTGTGGTATGTCTTGAGGTAAAACGCCCGTGCGCGGTACTCCCGCGGAAACAACTGACATACTAGAGCACAATCTACAGCATAACCATGACCCCGACGAAAGCAAATATTCAGTCCAAGCGATATCAAATAGCTGCAAAAGAAAAGCATCAGAACAGTTGTTTGAGAAACCCGAGAAAATCATTAAATTGGAATTAGAATTAAGTAGTGGAAAGGAAACAGTCACTGAAAAAGATATCTCGAAGGTCAGGAAGAATATTTACAATGCGAGAAGAAAATCTTTGCCACCTCTACCTAAAATTTTACTTCAAACTCAACTGGCGCTGGATAGCATGAACATTGAAACCGGCCGGGGAGAGAACTTTCTATTAGACAACGATCAGGAAAATACAATTGTGATATTTGGAACAGAGAGATATATAGAAATGCTAAAAGACAGTGACTTTGATAATGGATGGAACCTTCGACTATTGCTGTGACAATTTCAAGCAGATGTTTACAATTTTTTTCTGTGAAGAATGGACACTACATCCCACTTCTGTTTACCCTACTTCCTGATAAGAAGGAAAGAACATATGAAGTTCTTTTTAAGAAGATTCAATCTGCAATGGGTGACCGCTGTACTTATCTTTGGTTGCAGATTTCATCTGACCCAGAGTTGGTAAGTTGTTTACAAATTTCCTTAATGGATCTAAAGTATTATGACCGTACCAACGGTAGTAGGACCGTAGATGCTGTGTTAACAGTTACTGTAAGTACGCGTGTATAATTTTTAATTTCGGTATCCTTAAAGGCAAAATTATTAATAACATTGATAAACACTATTGATTTTTATACCTACAAGATAATGAGCATACTATTATGATATACTCGGTATTTTGTTATAGAATATTTATATGTGTTTACCCTTTGTGAGTGAGCTGGTGTAATTCCAAGTATGTTAAGATCAATAGTGTGCAAGACAAGCAACGGGAAATTAAAGGGAAACAGTACAGGAAGAGAAAAACGAAGTAAACCTTGCAAGAGAACGTGAATTGAGTGGTGCGATTTCGTGGAAATACTTCGTTCAAATCGCTAGTAAGCGATTCGCAAAAAAAATGACGGACATCGTTCATGCTTCGTTCATGTGACAAACCTTACATTTTCAAGAGTTTATTTTGATATTTTACCTACGACCGTTTTTTTTAATGCCGTTACAGTTCAGTTCTAAAAATTGAAAAGTTTCACAAAACTGCATTGTTTACTTACATAACATCATAGTTTTAGTTAACTACACGGGTAATGTATCAGTTTATTTTAGTTAACTACACGGGAACATTATTTGACCAATGAGGGTCAAGAATTAAGAGAAAAAGTAAAATAATTAAAAAAAAAGTTAAACAATTATTGTAATGCTTCGAACTTCAACTTCTTTTTTCGTTAGTCTAATAACATTCAAAGGCTCTCTAAGAGTTAAAGTTCTCATTAGAATACATATCTATACATTATGTTTTCACTAAGCTGAATGAATACATAGAAGTAACCTCTCTGAAAAGTGTGTAGTATATTGCAGTATTCCAGCTTAATGACTTTATAAATCATGCACATATTTCTACATAAATATTGTAAAATGTTTTATCCAGTTGCTGTAAACCCATATTAATTTAACAAAATATGGACACGGCTAAAATAGGCACCGTGCCCTTCTGCACTTGTATTATTTTGTATTGTATTACACAATCGAAGATTTTTCCAATGATTGAAAGCATGTATGACAATAATCTCATGAACCTATGGTGATTTGTCTAGATTAATATGATAAAATATAGGGAAAAGGTGTGAAAAAGGCAGACTCCAACCCGTAAAATTGATATAAGATAGTTCAATAAGAAACAATTGCAGGAGTTATTGTGATAAAAGGATTTTCCACTGATTTCGTAATGGAACTTTAAATTGCAACACAAATTATACAGAGGAAAATTAATTTTAAAATCAGAAAATAACATTGCAAATACTTCTTTTGGACAATTCAGCAACTCCCAATAAATGTGTACCTCTTTATTGTGTTATGTGTTTATTGTGTTTATGTTATTGTGTCTTTATTGTGTTGTCGTTTAAAACACAATTTTAAAATTAACAGCTGTTTTATTAAAAAGTATTATCCTCATGGCCAAAATGTAAACAAATCTGTGGAGGGATCTTTAAAGGCTTCTGGGGCAGAGCCCTAAGCCAATTTACTTTGTTTTTCCTTTGATAACTCATCTACAGACCAAGACCTTTCTTTGGACACCCCTACCAAGTTTCTACGCCCAGCCGTTCTCTCAAATTAGTGGAGACAAAGTTTCCAATTAAATATTTAGATTCCCCCATGTTAATCTTATGGGAGAAACCCTAACTTTGATGGAGGATCCTGACCAAACTAATAAAGATATCAAAACACGAAAAACACTTTGCAAAACTACAGATCAGGGCAATTTTTTTGACACTTTAATCGTCAAAATCGGCCCAAAAATGAGGGAGGAGTTCTGTTTACAAAAATCGGCTTAGCGTATTAGGTATATATATAGATTTTTTATGAGTTTTCAATTTTTTAAAGTATATTATTGTTAACAAAGAGGGTTTAATTATTTTCAACAATTTATTTAATTATTTAAAAATATGATGTTTTTTATTGATAAGAAATCAATTTTTTTTTAAGTTTTTGAGCTTTTCTATAGTTTGGATCTTTATTGATCATAAAGATCGTTTGATTATATTTATGATTGGTGTGAATGTATAGACTATTCATTAATATTTCACAAGACAAGGAAATACAACATTTTACCATTTAAAAACGTTTTCAATTATTTAATATATCCCTAAAACTCGTAAACTTTTGAACGTAAGTATTATAAGTGGAATGCTAATTTGTGCATTATTCAAGAGCAACACAAATTTGATAACCCAATATTTGTTATTTCAGTAGTTATACAATTTTAAGCAGTGTTCAATTTTTTTTACTTTATAAGGACTATCATTGGGCCATAGTGTTTGGAAGGTAGATTGGGTTGCTGTAATTTATTTGTTACCTCAACTTATTACTTACATTCTATTACACAATTGAACTCTAACTAGTCTGTAACTCAATAGTTTAGTGAACATAAATCAAATGTATGCAACAGCCAAGGGAGAACAGTTTACTCACACCCGCAAGGAAGGGATTAAGAGATTAGGTCAGGAATGGAAGAGTACAGTCAAGACAAGCATTTTGCACGACGCACTCGCTGGCGTCCCAGGCACGGGGGAGCAGCTTACCTACGCCCAATCCATCATACACACACATTTTCACTGTCTGTGAACTTTGTGATTCCAGGAAACTCTGTTGTAAGAAAATCTTATATTTGATACATCTGTACAGAATAATATGTCAGCCACTCCACCCTGACTGTTAAAACTATAAATGTTTCCCTTGCTCAAGATTTTTTGCTCAAAATCAAAAACATAATTAATTGTAACTAATTTCCATTAGCGGTAGCATAAAATTCCTGAGGCCCTTTAATTTAAATATTACAATCGAATAACTTCTGCATGAAAGGAGATTGAACTGAGAACACCCAGAAGAAAAAAAATAAAAACTACAACACTACAACAATGAGTCAATGACATTTGAGTTGAAACTGTTTATTTAATCATAAAAAAATAAATGATTTCTTTACAAATTTGCAACACTTACAGTTAAGTTTTCAGTCATGATGAAAGCTATGTCACGAAATAGGTTGCCATAAGATTACACTTAAAAAAAAAATAACCTATAGCTAAACGTAGACGTAATAACAGGCACACACAGAGTTTTAACAATGAATGGTGGGACGTTGTAAATGATCTCTCAAAAAAGACTTGAACCGAGTAATCGGTCAAAGATTAAGTGGGTGATGAAGAGTGGAGGTTATATTGAATCACTTCTATCACACTAAACAAACCCTAATCTGAAAGAAAACCAAAATCTGGCTTTCATATCACCAATCATTTACTACCTATCCATCACTATTTTTATTATCCTCTCTATTTATACTCCGAACATGGTCTCTTTAGAAGAAAATTAAACGTTAAAGTTCTAAGCAAACAATAAAACAAAAATAATGATTTTACAATGCAAAATTCCCTTAATCTTGATTCAGTAAAAAAGTATAAATTTTCAAATTGGTGCACACTTTTCAATAGGCTTATTCAAAGTTTGTATTTCAGTAAAAAAAAACAACAACAAATTACTACAGCTGATCCAGATACAGGGAGATAAGATAATGTCTATCAGTCTATCCAAAGGCAAGGTATTGGGTATTGCCATTGACTATGTATTGCTCAAAACAAAACTAATGGCCATTTTGTTGTCCAATTACTTCACTTTTACAGGTGATTTGAGAAAATATTTACGTTTTAAATTTAACCTCTTATTGACTTATTGTTTACACCATTTCAAACTAATTTGTGAAATTACATGTTGGGAAAATGACAGTCTTTACCTAGAATATGGTAATTGCCAAGTGCTTGGTAGTGTTGTTGAATATAAACTTCATTGTTTCTAAAGAACTTCCCCTAAATGTACAGGAAGTTTGTGAAATAAGCAACGAACGGTTCCCAGATCATAACCACAATGTGAGTGACATCCTCCATACTTACGAAAAATGTTTCAGAACTCTGGATGCGTATTCTGGACCAACAAAAGAATATTTGTTGAAACAACTCAGTGATAAGCTAGAATGTTTCAAAGAGGACCTTAAACAGTTGTATTACGCAGGTAGTATAAGATACGGTGATATGGAACAGGTCCAGAATCTAGAGAGTGATATAAAAAAAGGTGCTCATCTCGGTTTTGAAAATGTTCATACGAAAAAAAGGAAGTGTGATGTCGGCCGGCCAGCGAGGTCTACAGTGAAGCACATAATTCCGTTGGTATTGACAGGGACATTAGAGGAGAAAAGGAGGGCTTGTGATGCGATTTTGAAGCTAAATAAAAGTAGGTATGGTAATTAAAACTCTTTTGCCGTTTATTCATAGTACAGTGCATTTCCTATCAGGTGTGGTTGTACCACGGTTGAAACAAAATAGATTTTGGTTACTCTCTGGTACTAAAATGCCAAAACCACAAGATACTAATTTTGAGTGAAGTATATAAGTGCAGGTACAACGTAACCTATCTTAACTCATTGAATTATAAATTTTAATAATTATATTTTTATTGAAAAATGAAAAACAAATTAAAACATCATGTGGCTCACAGGGTAACCAGACCAAACAAATTATAGGTTTGCTAGACATGTAGACATGGTGAGAAATTTGGAGGTGTCATTTTATATCTTAAACTTGGGTATGTGGATTTACTCTACATATACAACAAATTGCATCTTCTTAAGATTTTAGTTTAAACTCTTTTAATTTTAACACACGAATCATTTAAACTCCTTTTCCATCTAAAATCCTTTTACCATGTAAACTGGGTAGATGAGTGGTTATAATGTTTGGCTAACAATCAAAAGCTTACTGGTTCGATCCTGAGAAAAGTTTGGTACAATAGCTTCTTGAAGGTTCGAAACTGGGCCCAGCTGTTCCTGATCATAAGTAAATAATCCTGGCTACAGGAACAGCTGACCATCTTAGCTTAGTCAGTAACAAAGCTGCACGATCAACACATTACATTATACACTCATAATTTACTCTTTGGGTTTAAACACTCGCCTCGGTGGCGTTCCCATCTCAATTGGTGATAATAGTTGGTAATATAATGTAAACTTCTGCCATCCTATTTATTTTAGGATTGTCCACTTTTGCCATTCCACCACAGGCATGAGCATGAGTAGTACAATGTACTGGTCACTGTGACAGAGTTCAAACCCTGGATGTAAAATGTCATTTCCTGGTTGAGGTGCTGGGAAAGAAACTTAAAGAATCAGTAGCTGTTAAAGCCATTCCTTACTATTAAAACAAATTTCAGACAAAGTCTCTGTCATAATTTAGTTTTGTTTATTTAGTTGTGCTGATTATCAGCGTAAGTGTTTTAAGCTTCATGTTTCTGAAAGCAAGCAAAAAAAAATAATAGCGGTAAATTTGATAAAGTATCAATTATCATCATGTCAAATTAGGCTAACATGTTTTATAAAACTCTATTCAAAAAACTTCAAATACATTAACACGATCTTGAGTAAAAACTGACAAAATCTTTAAAACTAATTGGATCCATAGTTTTGTTGTATGAATGAAGATTGTGAACTGAAAAACTTCAGCGGTTTATAAATGAGAGCAAGTGATAGGATAGGAGATATCTGCAGACCCGTGCCACTTAACTTAATAACACAATCAAAATCTTTAAAAAATGTTATCTTACCATGCCTTCGTTTTCGGATTTATCTATCTTCCGATATCGACACAGTTTTTTGAAACTGTTTGATCTATTTATGATTTAGGCCACATTAAACCAAAATTACTAATTTAGGTAAACTTTGATGTAGTGTGTTACTAACAAGTGTTGTTATTCATTAGAAACTTCTGTATTACTAGATGGCAGCTTTACACAAATGGATATTTGTACTCCAAAACTGGATGACAACAAAGATCCACAAGAACTGACAGTTCCACTTAAAAGTCCAACGACTTACAAGATCGACAGCCCAGAGGCAGAAAACGTTTTACCTCAATACTACAAAGTGATGATGAAGTGCCTTACACTGACAACAGGACATAAAATACAAGTTTTTAAGTTTAATAAGGAGTTTTATGATTGGTTGACACAAGCGGTGAGTTGTTTTTTTTTTGTTTTTTTGCCTATTAGGTACATGGTTAGAAAATTAGTATAAATATTCATTTGAATTATTACACTACACTATAACGGCACAACACTTTCTTACTAGGTCGATCAAGCTAGAGAAATATACAATTAAAGCAATATGTAGCTAAAAAATTAGCTACCTTTCTAAAAGATGGATATCAAAGCTAAGGTACTTTTCTGCATTGATGAGTAGAAAAAAGTCATGGCACTATCTTTAGATATGAAGACAAAAGCCAAGGATTTTTTTCTGTCATAGAATTTAAACAAGGGTACTATCATTAATGGTACTATTCTCCGTACAAGAGCTACGGTGATAATAAAAACTATGGTACTACAATTACAGTACTAAGTGAAATATCTATGATGTGTTGCTTTTTCGACATGGGCAGATAAAAGTAACAACACTACACTTCTTTCAAGTCAGATCAAAGCTGTGCCACTTTCATCTCTTAGAAGAACACTAAATTCATAGCATCTCTGGACAGGGATGTCAAAGCATTACCAGATCGAAGCTGTAACATATGCATAAATTATCCTTCGTCGTACATATGTTATGGAGCTAGGACTTTTTATCGACTATTGTAGGTACTGAAAAGTTAGATAATAACAAAAAGTTTACTTCAAATATAGGTTTTACCCCATTTGAAGGATGATAAGTGTTATCCGGCATTCGGAGGGGTTTTGAGAATTGTCGAGACCATGAGGCAAAAGGGTAAGTGAATATATTTTAATGAAATTTTAAATCATAGCACCAGAATATTGATATCAACAAATGTTTCAGAGCTAACCTGTTTGTGGCTAATGCTTATATATTTTAAATATGCTTTAGTGCCTACATTTCCTTACAGGTTACTATTTTTAAAACTATCCCCAAATTACATGAAGGTTCATTGGGAGTTCATATATCAATGGATACCGTACTGATAAAATAATTTCTAAATTGGAAGGAATTTCTTCACTGTTTATTAAGACAAAATGTGTTTTTAATTTACACCAAAATTCAGTTTCTTAATAATCCGCTGAATACTTCTTCTCTCCTGCATATTTATATTTCAGCGATTTTACTTTTTCAGATTTTGTACCAAAGAATTCGACAGCAAACTTCATTTTCTACAGACAAAGAGATCTCGACAAACATATCCAAGAAACAAAAAAGAATCAGACCGACACGGGGAGAATATTCCGGTTTCCCTACTTTCCACTTATTGTCGTAACCTGGGTTATTTTTATTCTGATCCTTTGTATTTTTCTAATGTGGAGATCAGGGCGGTGCTTTTGTAGGTGAGTCATGTATATTTTTACACTAGGTTACTTATTCATTTTTAAGTTTTACTTGTTCTTTGGGATATGAAGAAGTAAAACCTCATGTAAACCCAATATAAATTATCATGGATCAGCTGGAGCCAATGTTCTCTGCTTGGTAAAGGGCTTTTGTAGAATAAATAGTTTGTTTCATTACTATTTACTTCTCTCTCGTTCCTTTTCTTCTTCCCTATTTCTTCTTTGCTGTGAACACAATAACTTAATTTGAGTAATTTTTGTCCGAATTTGGTTGAATTTGGCATGAATTTGTAGAACTGGATAAATGTGATTGAGTTCGCAAACCAGCAATACCGGGTGGTAGAATGGGGTTTTATCCAGAGGTATTTCAAATGTTTACACTTAAAACATGGAAATGCCCAATTACCAAGTAGTACAAAGTTAAAATAAAAAACAAATGCATATTGAAGCATTGCTGTACAGTTCAACTCAAACTCCATTAGCCACCATAGTACTTTCAAAATATTGAACTCGCGGATTGTGTGTGATTGTGGTTTGAACATTACAACTTTAATTTTCTTGGGTCAAGTTCCTCTCTGTAAACAGTATATATTTTACTTAGGTGCTGTGGATGTGGGAAAGAGTATGACTCTGACAGCAGTTCTACAGGTAAGCCTTTAACATTAACTCGTACATCTTAAGCTTTTGAGTAGGAGAAATTACAGGGTGGGGCAATGAGAACGCCACAATTCGTTTTAGCTGTCACATGTTAATTGTTGCAACAAAGAATGATCAGCTGTGCTTAAAACATCAATTAAACTATGCCATTTTAGTAAATATTATGCCCGAGGCTATTAACACTGAGATTTTGATGTGCAAACCTATTTTAAAAATAGTGGTTCTTGTGCAAAAACCCAGAGATAGTTTGGACCACATTCCATCCTTGGTCAACATGGCACTGTTCCAGATTGGAAAACAATGGTGAACTGGGTAAAATTATGTAGGATTAAACGCTTAAACCTTAAAAATAATCGGTGGGTGCCGCAAAACTCTTTGTACACCAGCAAATGTTGAAAGAGTGCGAGTCGCAGTAACTCAAAGTCCAAAGAGATTTGCCAGGAAGCTATTGTTGTTGAAAGCTTTACGTTGGCTCGTTTTTTTGGAGGGGGGGGGGTTCTAATAAGCTACTTGAAGTTCAAGGTTTTTCAAAGTCACCCCACAGATGTGCTTGAACCGAAGCTAAGAATTGTCCAAAAACTAAAGTGATTCCTGAAGAAATGCTGGAGGAGTATTTGATGGAGTTTTCAAGTGGTAATGTCAAGTAACACAAGGACGTCACTTGCAGGATTTCGTTCTCAAGAAATGGAAAAATGACTTTGTTAAGTTAAAATGGCAAAAGATAAGCTGTGTTTTGATGTGCTATTTATATCCATAGGGTGAATATTCTTGAGTTTGTACTGCTTATAAATTGGGGCGCTTTCATTGCCCCACCCTGTATTAAATCTGAAGGAAAAAGAATTGGTAAATTTGTGACAGTTTTTATTACAAATTATTTTCTGCTAAAAGTAGTTTTGTGAGATGAGTAACCAAACCAATAAAGGATAGGAAAATGATTTTTTCTATTCTTAAAATCAAATAAGTCATAAGTGGACTAAAATAAAGATAACTTTTATAGTTGACCAAGAGGAAACATCTAATTTATAAGGTTTTGTTTATGTTACCGAATTCGCGAATTGATTACATTTCTTCTATAAAGTAGGTCAAGTATAAGGACTGATACAATGTCTCATGTTTTTCACAAAAAAAAGTTGCAAAATTTTAATTTCATTATTTACTTTTTGGTGATTTTGTGATTTTGTTGGTTTCAGAGGTGTTTTATTATCCAATTGAAGAAACTCCCTCTATATCTCTTGACCTGGATGGAGTAAGTTCGTAAGTATTGAATTATATGCAGGTAACTCTGTACAAATTTAAATATAATTTTTAATAGTTCTTTTAGTTGCGGTCATGGAAAAACAAAGTAATTTAGTGGGTGTTTTTTTCCACCCAAGTTTTTTTAGACATTGGCCACTGATTATGACAGACATGTTGGTTATGTTGTGAATCGTTCCAAACTGTTACGTAAATTGGTATTTGCAGTCAAAATAAGTTTTTTAGCATTTCAGATTAAAGGATTTGTGTTCTATAAAGCAATTGAATATTTCTGATTACAGTAATCATACAAGTCTAGAAACAGAGCCAAGTTCAAAAGCTAGTGGAGGAGATCATCCTTATAGACCAGGATACGAGACTCAAGTTTATACAATGACTTACGAGCAGCAACAAATGGTACTTATGTTAACAACAAATTACAGTACAGTAACTTATAATTTAAGTAGATTAGGGGAGGGATAGAAAAATTAAATGTTTGGAGTATTTTACTTTTTGAGGATGTTTTATAAATTTCGAAATTCAAGTTATAAAATTAACATTAATTTTAACATTATTTACATTGTGTGTTAATGAAACAGTAAAACGGTAGAACATTGACAATGATGACTTTAGAATTTTGAGTAAAATACAAAATAAGCTTTTTTTCTTCTACTGATCCGTATTCCTCAAACATTTTAACAACTCTGTAAATAGTTGATTTATTATGTACTGCAATCATACCTGAAAACTTAATTTCACCCTTTTCTTGGCATAAAAGATAAAACCAATGATTTACTTTTAATGTATTCTTCTACAATACATATTCTTTGAGCTAGCGAAAACACCATGACTTATTTACAGTAAATTCCCAACACTTAACATGATTGATAAAATGATAACTAATTAGCAATTCCTATCAGCAATGAAAACAGGGATACCAACATATGAGCATGTTTTTTCATAAAAAGTGTCTCACAGTACTTGTAAATTTGGGTTGATTAAAAAAAAACACCCTGTATCATAGACAAAAATAATTAAATAAAATTAAAGAAATTAAATAAATTAAAGCATTAAATTATTTTATTCTTTTTGTCTATGCCTGTATGCAGATCAGTATTCTAACAAAACATTTGTTTTTGCAGTTAACTGGTGTGCCACTGAAAAGACAATGTTCAAGTGAAAACTCTCTTTGTAGTAGCCGTGAACTAAAATCTCCTGGAAAACGCCACAAGATTTGGTCTGGGATTTATAAATAAAACGGATGAAAAGTATCAAATAGCTTTTTTCATGTTGACCAACTCTAGATCTTAGATAATATTAATTATGTATAATGTAAGGAGAAATAAAACAATAAATTATTACCTTATAGATCCTAGAAGAAGACTCACAAAGTTAACTGCATAGTTCCTGCCCAAAAAATGCATAACAACTATTGAGTCAGGTTTGTATCAAAATTCATATAAATGCATGCAATCTTATTGAGGGTCTCATAATACCTGTACTCGGGACTGATTTACTTTTTTTGTTTTGAAGTACCCAGAGGCCAAAAACACCCTCCGTTCCAATTCATAATACCTATACTTTACACAATGTATTTGATGTATGTGTCAGTTAGCATGATAACTTGAGCGTTTATTCTAAAGAGTTTGCAAACCAGCATGATCAAACTATGGGCATTGGGCACAGGGGATTTTTTGGGGATTTTATGGGTTAAAAATTGGGTTTTCCTCCCACTTTTGACCCCAAAACTTAAAATTTCTCTAAACCATTTTGTAGACCTTGAAAAGGATATAATTTAGTACATTCAAGTGTTGTTGTATGCCTAATAGTTAGGGAGAAAGATAAAAAAAAAACTTAAATCACTTCCCGCTTTTTGTATAAAAAATAAATAAATCGTTGAAGTTTATTGCTTGTTTATGGATACATTATATTAATCAAATTCAGCAATTTGTTTACTTCGTACTATACCTTATTGACAATATAATTATATAATTAAAATTACATCTCAATTACCTTTCCTGTAGCAGCAAGCCTAATTACTCATCAAAATTAATGATAACCACCAGATCATTTTGTCGCTCCTTGTATATACAATTGAAACAGTTTGAAGAAAATACATCAATTGCCAGGTGAATAATTTTTATAAATAGAACTGAACTCACCATAGGTAAGTAAAATACATTATATAATATTATAATGTAGTTCAAAGTTTAGTATTTCCACCGACTTCAACTGCAGACCCCCCCCCCCCCCCACGACCAGCACAAAAAAAAAGGTTTGCAAAAACGTGAATCTAATTGAAAACTAACGAACTGTAAAAGGATGCCTTTATCAACCTAACAATAACATACAAGTATTATTATTGTGACGATGGTAGGAATAGTCTAAATACCCCAGCTGCAGCAAACCTGCAGACCTGAGACTAAGCGAATTTCCATATTTGTCGATTTGATTTTCACTTAATAAATAATAACATTAGGTTTAGAGTAACTCGGTTTGCTGCTAGAAGGAGGGTCATAAAGTGTGTGTTTTTTTTAGTTAAATATCAATAGCTTAGTACAAAATAAATATATTTACCAAGTTTGATCAAAATACAGGGTTATTACAAATGATGTTCCTGATTTGGATTGTAAATATTACTGGATTAATTTGGTTTAAGACTATTTCTGTTGGTACGATTGGAAAGAAAATCTCATAAAATTTTATTTACATTGGTTTGGGTGTAAATCAGCTGTTTATAAAGTCGATTGTTGTCAGTGTTGTGTAATGGCTGAATTTGAAGACAGGAAAGCATTTTGTGTGTTGGATTATCACATAACCAGAGTGGCATTAGTGTGCAACGACACTATAGAGCAAGATTTAATGAAGCTCCTCCTAGCAATCACTCTATTCGCAAGTCAAGAGAAACGGCTGCATTTGTAAAAAGAAATCAACTGGAAGGCCATCAGTGAGCAATGAGGTTGTAGAGCAGGTAAGGGAAAGTTTTACCCGTGGTCCACAGAAATCTACTGTCAAATGAAGCAGGGAGCTTGGTTTACCACAATCAACAGTTTGGAAAAGTCTACGTAAACGTATAAAATTTAAACCTTACAAACTTCAGCTGCTCCAAGCATTGAAACAAAATGACAAAGTTTTAAGACTTTCTTTTTGTGAGAGCATGCAGACCTTGCTGGAAAATGAAAACTTTGCAAAACTGTTAATCTTTAGCGATGAAGCAACATTCCACTTGTGTGGTAAAGTGAAAAGACAGAATGTGAGAATATGGGGCTCAGAGAACCCGCACGCTTTACTATTGAGCATGTGCACGGAAAGTCAATGTGTTTTGTGCTGTCGCCTACAATAAAGTGTACGGGCCTTTTTTCTTTATTGAAGAAACGATAAATGGACTATTTTTTTGGACATGATGACAGAATGGCTTCTATCGCAACTAGAACAAGATTTTGAAAATTTCATTCTGCAGTTAGACGGCACCTCCACATTACCACTTGGATGTTAGGATTGAACTCAGCAATCAGCTGCCTGAGAGATGGATCGGGCGCGCTGGTCCAAATGATGGCGCACTCTTGAACTGGCCTCCAAGATCTCCGGATATCACTCCCTGTGATTTTTTTTTTTTGTGGGGCTACATCAAAGACAGAGTGTACACACCACCATTACCAGAAAGCATACCCGAAATCCAGCAACGGATCACTAATGCCATCGAATCAATCGATCAAGACACTCTTACCAAAGTGTGGCGAGAGCTTGAGTACAGGATTGATATCTGTTGTGTCACCAGGGGTTCCCATATCGAACATTTACAATTCTGAGTATCTGTAATAAAACTTTTTGAGTTTATCTTAAAATGTATCCATTTTTTTTATGATAAATAAAACCAGGTTTATGCACACTTGAAATCGGGAACTTCATTTGTAATAACCCTGTATATCAATAAACAAGCAAGCCAACAACAAGAGTTTACTTATTCTCCATAAGAATAACATGAGAAATCTTATATATAAAAAACAATTCGGAGTTCGTTTGGTTCTTCTACCCAAACGGGCGACCGATTTTCATGATTGAGGTCTCAAATCAAATTGAAGGAATACACACACAGATTTGCCATCAAAGCATCGGCTCGGCATATGATTATCTATAAGTGTCTCACACGGTAAACGAAATTTGCTGTCCATATACTCTACCATAGATAAAACCATAGATAAAACATGGTTAGTCTATGATTTACCCATACGGTACTTTCCTGTTAAAGGGAACATTCATTATTATCGATGATTTTTTCTCGATATATCGATATTAACAAATTGAAACATATCAGCTGACAACTACGCGATAAATATTGTTCAGTATCAACAAACAATAATGAAATGAAACTGATCTAAAAAAAAATAACCTAACATAACTAACCAAACTTGCTATAACATTTAAAAATTCCGTGTTTAACTTGCCTTTTCTATTATCAAACCCAAACGGAATTTTTAAATGGTCCAGCACGTTTGGTTGGTTATGTTAGCTTAGAATATTTTAGCCCAAACAAGATCAGTTAGTTGTCGTCAATTTGTAATGGATCGGAAAATAAAAATATCGATATATCGAGAAAAAAATCATCGATAATAACGAATGTTCCCTTTAACAGGAAAGTACCAAACATACTGTACTCCCTTAGTAGATTTCTCATCCTAATGGAACAGCTGAAGCTGAAGACAATTTTATTGTTAGTTCTGTACGGTTTATGTAGAGGTCGCGTTTTGTTTACAATTCGTTTCCCGTTAATACAGTCATTTAAAACCTCGTTTAACCAAATAATACGATCTAATCATAAACAATGAATTGTCCCCTAGTTATTTAACCAAACAGTTAAGCATAAATCAAGAAATTAACCTTAAAATAATAGAAACAAAATTTCGTCGACACTAGCGCCCAGTGTGGCATACATGAAATAGGCATGAAAAACGAGCTTCAAAATATACAATGGGATGAGAAGTCTACTACCATAGATAAAACCATAGACTAACCAACACAAGTAGACTTCTCATCCCATTGTAAATTTTGAAGCACGTTTTTCGTATCTAGTTCATGTACGTGACACAAAGGCGCTAGTGTCGATGAAACTTTGTTTCCATTATTTTAGGGTTAATTTCTTGATTTGTGCTTTACTGTTTGGTTATATAACTAGGGGACAAGTTATTGTTTATGATTAGATCGTATTATTTTGTTAAACGAGGTTTTAAATGGCTGTAATAACGGGAAACAAATTGTAAACAAAACACGACCTCTACATAACCGTACATGAACTAACAATAAAATTGTCTTCAGCTGTTCCATAAGGATGAGAAATCTACTAAAGGAGTATGTTTTATCTATGATAAAACATACTACTCTTCTCTACTCCATGTAGTGTAGCTCTATGTCGGTCTTATGGGAGTTAAATTTACTTTCTCTTTGCTGAGTTCGTTTGGCTCATCTACCCGACCGATTTTCATGATTTTGTTTTTAAAAGTATTTATTTACAATCTATTCTTATTCCATACTAGAAGAATATAAGTAAATTTCATGACTATTTAAACATGGGTTAGTTACACCCCATCAAGTGCACTAACATACAAAAACTTATAAAAAGTTTCTCAAAAAACGATTTGGAAGGGAAGGTCTATTGGATTAACTCTTTTGAGCCTATAGACCTATATGTAGCTTCACTATTATCGATGAGGTTAACTAACTGCCAGGAAATTTGGATGGCTTTCTAATTTTCTTTGATATTTTCTTTTCGTTTTTTTATTTCTTCTCTAATATAGGGTAATTTTGTATCTTGATGAATAACTTTATTTGTGACAAACCAAGGTGATTGTAAAATCTTTCTTAGTGTTTTGGATTGAAATCTTTATGAACTATTTCTGTTTGAGTTTGAAGTGGTTACCCAGAGTTGAATACCGTAGGTCCAAATAGGTTTCAAATATAATTTTGTATAAAAGTACCTAATTTATATTCAACAAAATTTAAATTAAGTCGTTTGTTCCAAATGTGTGAATGTCATAAGCCGTCTGTCGAGATGCATACCAAGGTACTTAACTTCGTTGGATTGTGGAAGCATGACATTATTCAATGTTACTGGGGTTGGCAAGTTCTTGTAGACATAGTAAATGTAACTTGGACGGATTTTGTTTCATTTACTTTGATTTTCCAATTCTGTAGCCACTGAGACAAATCGTCTAATGCAGCCTGAAGTTTTGATGATACCAGAATAGGATCCTGATTTGAG